GAAATACTTGGATCACTATAAAACAAATGTTTTAAAAAAAAGTGAATTTTTACGATCAAAAAACGATAAGTCATCGCCCTTAAACACGCCGAACCTAGTGCTAGGATCCACTCTGATGAAAACGCAACTGCAGAAAAAAAGACAACAATGCTCAAAAGAGTGTGCACTAATTGTCCATGGCATTTTTCCTATTATAAAATGAGTAAAAAAATTCGCAATTCAGGGACAGTTCAAAGGAAAAAACAGATCAAATCGTCTACAGCAATGTAGCTAAGATTTTTTGACGGAGAAGGCACATCAGAGATTTTAGCTGAGGAGATGGCCACTTCAAGCAGCATTCTTAAAATATAATATTCCAGCACAATCTGCAAAACTTACTAATAAGAGACAAAATTTCAGAAATATTACGAACTTTTTTGTCAAGGTGAATGTTCAGCTACTTGAGAAGAGATATCACCCACCCTCCGTTTTTTTTTTTTTTGAACTAGCAAAAGCATCCAGCAATTTACGTCGATCAAAAGCATCCAGGAATTTATGTCTGTTTCGTCGATATAAAGGCGATATAAAGGCAAGCTATTTCGGCGATGTAAAGGCATGCTAACACTTAGGATGATTTGGGACTGCTTTAAAAACAAAAAGGAAACTACAGCTACTGTTGACCGCCGATAGTTTCTACTAGTGAAAGCACAAGCACTCGGACCACAGAATAAAGCCTTCGTCTGCTTCCAGGTGGAGGAGGCTCCGAGTTAAACTGGCATGCAGTAGTGCTGCTGGTCAATCGAAGTGGAATTTTGACGAAAAAAAAAATGTCAGAATCAAAATAACAAATGCCAGAACCCTTCATTCCTTATTCTCCACGAGAAGCGCAGGCATTCGAAAGTGATTTGAGTAGTCGCAAGTGCCAACAACAATCACTGGCTAACAAGAAGACTGTTTCGCTCTTCCGACAGCTGCTTAGAAGCAAGCTGATTGCGATTTCAGCTGCCCGAAGTGTGGAATTACCATCAAAAGGGACGAAGTAATTGTAGAGGTCCCACCGACGGGGTTGATAGTCCCACCGACGGGGTTGAACACTCCATCTTCAGTATGAGAAAAGCGCTGCTTTTCACTACCCCATACCTGTCAGCGCGAAAAATTTA